TTTTCATTCTTAAGAGGAATGTCATATGTGCAAAGAAATTGCAACTCCAGGCACCAAGCATGTGAACATATTTAAAGCTCCAAGCATGTGAACATATTTAAAGCTTGAGTAAAATTTTGCACACATACATGTTAACCTCAAATGCTACATATGTAAATAGTAGTAAAAATCAAGGAATCTCCATACCAAGCATCCAGCCCTTCTGTATTTATACTACATTCATTAAAAAAAAAAGCAAATGTTTTGCATCCCAATATAGAAGAGAATGGAGGTGGTGCTTAAGCAATTATTTACAATGGGCCACCCTAATCAGGGAAGAACCTTTCACAGGATTAAATCACTAGAGAAAACAATAAAGAAAATGAGGTCCCCCTCTTTTTTAAATGCATTCTGGCCCTTTGGACATCTTTCCAATGTTTAACAACCTTCACACATTCTATAAGGATCATTATAAATATTCTTGCTCAAACATCATTTGGCATTAATCCCCATAAATCATAGTTTGTTATTAAAAGACAATCAAAATCCAATGCTCGATTGTTTGAAATAGTAATCCAAGAGAGAAGTTACATTTTTTTTTATTTTTTTTGCACACCAGAAAGGCAATGTGATCCCAATATTTTGAGATAAAACTTCATTTATAAGATGCAAATTTATTAAGAAAGTTGCGAAGGATGAAAAATCTCATCTTAAACGGTCATGGGCTTTCCCATAGTTAGCTCTTCAATGTTTCGAGCAGGAAGAAGTAAAAGAAAAGAAGTCGTGCATATAAATTTCAGATTTGCACAAAGCCAAGCCTAACGAATCTCCAATTTGCAAGTAACCGACATATAACTTTCAGATTTTAGAAGATTTTCCCCCAAAGTTTTCCGATCTTTGCAAATAACACATAAAATTTTCAGATTTTAAAAGATAGTGCATCAAAGTTTTCTAGTCTTTGCAAATGACACATAAAAGCTCTTATTCACATCCATTAAATCCATTTCAAGCAAACCGTCACACAAAATGAAAATCAGTGGCATGAATTGGCAAAGTTACTTCAGCCTACCCTTAATCTCTTGTATGCTCCTTTCACCATAGCATCCCATACAAAATATACATTAGCTACTTTATTGAGAAATTAATGGAGTGTTAGAACTTTGTGCCTATACACCATGCCCTTCACTGTTGCATCCTTCGCTGATGGAGGTCGTCGATTGATGATTCTTCGAAGACAGTAAAGCCGACGGAGGAAGGGGAAGTTTCGGCCGCATACGAGAAATAAGCAACAACAACAAACCTTTACTTAACTAAGTAGAGTTAGCTACATGAATTTTTTTTCTCCATTGTGTCATATTGAGTGCCATATTTTTATTTAATTCTAATAAATTAAGATCATTTTTTATATAACATGTCCAAGTCTTTTAAGGTTAACTTCTCCCTTCTTAACGTAAGTTAAATCTAAAGCATCTACTTTCATAACCTGATCATCGGATGGTCAAAATTTATAAATTAAACCATCTTGAAGCAACACCAACCTCTCCCTTCCAATGCCCAAGTCAAAACAATAATTAGTGCTTTAAATTAAAATTGTAAAATCTCAAATTGAAAATTAATTTTAAAATCACCTCTCTCTTTTTTTTATTGTACAATCATCTGTCTTATCTTCCTTGTCCTTTATTTCGATTGTCTGCACAATCTTAATCATTGGTTTTAATTCATAAGATATTAATATTAACTTATTAACACTTCAAAATAACTCATATAAATAAAAACACTAAACACTATTTCTTACCTTTTTTTGGTTCAATCTGCCTCCCCCTTTGCTAGGGCATGAGCTCCTCTCCTTTCTCCTTTGCATGATTAAAAACACGCAGCCTCTCCTCCTTTTTTTTCTTATGGTCAAACCCACACATAAGGCACTTAGTTCTTCGTCTTTCGTTACATCAGGGCCGCTCAATTGCCCTTCTTTTGCATGCATAGCTTCCTTCTTCCCTCTTCTACTTTCCTTGGCACCGGAAGCTAACGAGCCTCCCGCATACGAGAAATAAGCAACTCCACTGTAGCAACGATGTCAGTCCTATTCACTACTTTGACTCACACACCACTCTTATTCTTCCTTTGCTTCTTTCTCCTTACTCTTTATCTCTTCCTCATTCTTGCCTTGCTATCTCTCCTTCTCTCCTTTCTATTTCATTGTTGTTACTTGATTTGAATGGAGACTCTTGTCTCGTAGCAGTGAACCTTCGAGAAAATTATTCGAACCAACCTAATTATTATTAATATTATTATTTTTTCTTACAATTATTACATGATTGGTTAGAAGGATGACTTACAATGATAGTTTTTGGTAAATTTGTGGATAGAGGGTTAATTACAAGATGTGGAACATAGAAAACATTATTGAGTGTTATTAAATATTCAAATGTATTTTGATTTTTCTATTATCGAGATAAGGTTTATAAGTTTGAAATATGTTGGTAAGGTTTGTCGTGTGATCAGTAGCCTCTGAATCTAAGATCCAAGGGGGAGAAAAATTATTTTAGGCACTAAATAAGAATTAGAAATTGTAGCATTTTGAGCAAGAGAGTACGGTTTAGATGATTTTTGTATGGATATTGCGAAAATTATTTAAGTTTCAATTTCTTTCAATATTTTTCTGTGGTACGTCTTTTTTTTTTTCTTACAATAGTTGTATTAGAGATTACGTTTGAAAAAAATTTTTTTGCTCTTCTTTGGAGAATCTTCAGTAAGAAAAGTCTCTTATATTACGATTCATAGGTTGTCATGACAAAAATCTCAAGGGTTGAACCATTGATCATCAACTTCTTTCTTCCTTGTTTAACCCATGCCAAAGAGAATATTTCATTTAGAGAAGGGTGATTTTTTTCCTTAAGATTTGGATTCAAATTTGGTCAAATTTATTATTGAGTCTTATTTGGAACTCAAAGATCCTCTATTGCTTCACAAATTAATTGAGTTACAACATCCTTACAACATGACATCTTAAGATATTGCTGATAGTCTAACTTCAATCATTAAAATGTTGATGTCATTAATGTATTCAATGACATGAAGATTATCTTGTTTGGTAGTGATTAGCTTTGTGAGCATCTTTCACCAGAGTTGTTTTGCTTAACTGCATTCCAAACTTCTTTTGAAGTGAAGAGGAACATAAATGACTTATTGATCTCAAGTAGCATGGTGTTCCACAACCATGTCATAATCATGGCACAACTTTTTCTCAAAATATGAACATTAGGCATATTTAATTAGGTCGGGAATATTAAATGACTAGTCTATTAGGACATAGAGATACCTATAAGAGTCAAAATTGAGGCTTACCAGAAGCTAGATGGATGGAGAAAATCCAACTTATTGGGCAGGATTGTTTGCTTTTATTTATTCTAATAAGAATGCAATAGGGATAATAGTGGTTATAGAAACGAAACGAAAAATTGGTAGAGGTGAATGATATTCTTTATACGCTGATTACTGTTTAATTAATTATATTCAAGGAGACTATAAGGTTTGTTGGTACTTATGCCCTATGACTTGGATTGGAGGAAGGTTAAAATGCTAATTTTGTTGGAAAAAAACATATGCTAGGTAAGAGGATAAGTTTTGACGGTGAGATTGTTGGAGCAACATACATTGAAAACATGGCCATAGATAATAGACTTGGGCTTATCTGGTTACTTGAACTTGGAAAATATATTCTGAAAAATTGTTAACATACCAGATTTCGTGGATGTATTTTGAAATCAATATTAATTTTAAGATGTCTGAACACCCCAAGCAATTGATGGCTTGATTTGCCCGCAAATAAGAGGCAAAATAAAATAATGTTATTCTAAAACACAGTTTATATCAACAAGGAACCAAATAAGCCCTTAGGTTGATTGATAATGTATTGTAATAAAGCTTTGCATCACACAAAATAGCGAGATACACACAAACAGACACAGGAGAGAGAGAGAGAGAGAGGTTATGTGATGCATGAAAGACTATCAGGTAGATTTGTGATGGCCTTGATCTTTGAATATCATATAGGTTGTGTTGTTTGTATGAAAGACTATCGTGTAGATTTGTAGATAGATGTAAGAAAGTCAAATCCTGCGACACCTGTTTTTTTAAAAAAATGGATTGATTACTATTCGTACATGGATCTTTATGCCTTTATTTCAGGGTTTCAGAGGGCAACTGTCAGCATCGTATAGAATCTCCTATCTCCATTTTTCTATTGCTCCCGTATCCCTCAGTTCAGACTGTAAATAAGAACCTCGGGTGATTGTTATTCATGTTATGTATCATGAGTTGTGTGCTTTTTTATGGCATGGCATAATAACTAGAGAGCAAATAAGATTCCCCTTCTGAACTTGCATGACCAGAATACTTTCCACTCATTTAGCTTCAATACATGTTTCTAGTTGCTGCTGTGTTTAATGAGATGTGGAAACCAAATATAATCACAGTGACCTCCATGGAATGAGGGATATCTAGAACCAAGATATGAGATTTAACTCTATCCTCATTTTTGAGAAGTTATAGAGCACCTAAAAATAGGTTTTCACTGAATTCTAAGTAAACAATAACAATTATGCTTACCTACACCAACTTAGCATCTACAGATGACAACTTTGGATTTCAGAGTATTGAGTTGCCACTGTTTTTTTGCTTATTGGGACTCTTTTCATAGTTTTTATATCACGACATAGCTCGGGGCTTGGAATTAACCAAGGCGGGTACAAATGGTCGGACAACAAGAATTATAATTTTCTATATTGTGTTTGTGTCTGTGTAATAATCTATAATTTTCTATTATTAATTTTCTAAAAATAAATTAATTTACATGGGAATTATTATTTTTATTACACACACACACATATGCACCAAGTTCTGGTTACGTAATCTTTTATTGTTTACAAACTATGTTTGCTCATTTATCTATTTCTTTTATTTATGCTGTTAAAGATTTCCTTGGAGAGCTTTATAATGGTTTATTGGTCTATCTGGTACAGGGGTTGGCGTTGGATTCATCTCTGCTCTGATATCCTTTCAGATATTTTATTTGTTATTTCTGGTTGCTAGTCACTAAAGATCTATATTGCAAAAGACTGTATTTGGGATTTGCTACACTTTATAATGGCTCCTAGTTTGTATACGATAATAATCTGTGGACCATTACTTTATATAATGTAATAACTGTTGGAATCCAAGATCTTAATGAACTTCATGGAATGATGTCGTTATGGTAGACATAATAGGAAGCCATCATTTTGCACTATCCAATTTGCTGTCTTTATAATGATGTTGGTCATACTGTGATTTGGTTATTATAGATGTGCTTGAAGCTTTAGCATTTTTGGTTCACTTTACTTATTAGTTGTTTATTTGCTGGATGAACTTGGCCCATTTCAGATTGAAGATGGTTGGATAGGGGTTATGGGTTAGCTCTACTGTTGAATTTTGGTGTCATTGAACTTTTAGGATGCTATGTATCTGTAAAGTAAGAGGAATCACCTTCTATTTTTTATGTTTAATGTTTTTTTATAAGCTCTTTCTATTTTTTATAATTGAAGAATCACCTTTTACATTTTTATGTTTAATGTTTTATTCTATAAGATCTTTCTATTTTTTATCCAAGCAAATCACTTGTTTCAGATTGAGTTTTGAACCATGTTTTATGATAATTATTGGGAAGTTGTATGCTTTGCATATTGCCAAGTTTGTTTGATGAAAATTTTGAATTCTGGCCGCTTAGCAAACTGATGTGGAATGAAAGATTGGGAGCATTATTGGTGCCTCGATTCATGATGCAAATATTAGAGGCTTGTACTCTTTTTGATCCGTAGAAATTTGGCACTTCAGAGGAGCTTCAAACCAAATCCTCCTGCCTCTTTATTTTTTATTCATTTTTGAAACCAACAGTCTAGAAGAGTAAATATTCGGCTAAAGAAAATTTACAATTTAAATTTGCATGGAATTTCTACTATTCCATTACGATAAGCTATGGCTTATTTTCTCTTTTTCATTTTGTTATATTGGTGCTAGCGCATATTCAAATTGTCATAGTCTCATTTCCTGCAATTATTTTTAATACCAGTACTTAAGTCTGAAATGTAATACCTTGACCATTTATCACCTTTTTAAGTATGCGGGACTTGACGTTGACAAGTAAGTTCAGCAACTTTTTTATGCTTTTCCAATTTCAACCTTGGTAAAAAGTGGAACCTAACTCTCTGATTTCTTTTTGCAGCCTTCAGAACTTGGAGTGCTGTCTTTTTGTCCTTTTCCCTTACTTTTCGTAAGTGAATAATTGATCCGTGTTGTCTTTCCATGAAGTGAAATTCAATTTTTGAAATTTTTTCTTAAAATTATTTTGTTTTATGTTCATAGATATATGCTGGCAGAGGGAATTGGTCTGTCTGGAATTGTTTCAATATTGTTCACCGGAATTGTTAAGTATATCATCTGGGTTTTTGTTGATTGTGAAGTTGATTATCCATTTTTGAGAAGGAAAGCTCACATATACTTTTTTTTTTTTGTAGGTGATGAAGCACTACTCATTCTCAAATTTATCAGAAAGTTCACAACGTTTTACTGCTGCTTTTTTCCACTTGATCTCATCATTAGCAGAAACATTTGTGTAAGACATTTGTGCATTGTTTATCACCTGGATATGACATGTCAAATATATTACCATCACTGAGGATTTTTCTCCTTGCAGATTCATATATATGGGTTTTGACATTGCCATGGAACAGCACAGCTGGTCCCATATTGGATTTATTTTTTTCTCGATTGTATCCTTTATGGCATCTGTTAATAAGAGTTCAATTTTTTACTTGGTAGGGTTTTTATAAGTTGAGCGAAGGCAAGTCTATCTCTACTAAAGCTAGACTTTGTCAACGTCAGCTTTATTAAACTGAAAATTGATATGACCTTCTTGTCAGCTTGATTGAAAAGAACTAATGTGAGCCAATTCATATTTGTTTTGAGTATGAAATGAAAGCTTTCAGACATCTGTGGTCCAACCTTGGTTTAGTTTGGATTATAGGTAGTTCAACTTCATTCAAGTAAAATTATTAATTTCTTTATAGATGAGAAAATTTGAAGAGATTGTAAACAAGAAAACGTTACTTTATAAAATTATCGGACAGGAATGATTTAATATATTTTAGAAACAAATAAGAAAAAAGGAGAATAAATTATTTAAGATAAAAATTTTTGTGACAATAATGTTGGCTCGCAAATTCATGCTAGAATTGCTAATTTTAATTTTAAAATATTCTAAATGCTTATCTTCTATTACTTTCTTTCACTAGATTTCTATAACAACGGTTCAATTCAAATCATCTTGATCAATTCTTATTAATTAAATCTTTATTTAGATATACCATGGCTCCTCACTAAACGGCTCAAGTTTGAGGTTTGTAGCATATTCAGTAGCTTGCTTTTTGATACCAAAAATTAAAAAAAAAAGAATAATAGTGACATTCAAGATTATTATAACTATAGAAAAAGCAGACTTACTGACCATACAATAAAGCTATGAGAGAGTATTGGGCATAACTGCTAAATAATGAAACTAAGTGCAACTTGCAGGTCATTTATTTACTTAATTTTTTATGGGTATAGACTAACAAACGTTAGGGTGATAAAAAAATTCATTAGCTAATATATCTTTTTTTCGATTATGTTTGGCTCATTCTTTGCTTGAAATATATATATTAGTTTTTTTTTTAATTTTTAGGTTTACTAATTGGTTAGTAGATAAATAGAATAATTATTTCATTTTCAGCTCATTATTTATTTATTTTCATTTTCTTAAAATTAGATTTAATTTGGCTTGTGTTTTGTCCAAAGTCTAATGAGTCGAACAAAAACATATTGTTCACTAATAGTTTCAAACACGAATCAAACACAAACACAACAAATTTAGAATGAGCTGAATACGAAAAATCAGTTTGCTCAAATGGGCTAACAATGTTGTATGTATTCGATTGCTGGGCACTAAAAATTTGATATCTAAGTTGAGTATGACTTAAGTAAGAATGGCAGGATATTTCAAAACTAGAATGGGTAAATGAATAAATAATTACTAAAGAAATGGTGACATTCATTCAAGATAAGGTAAATGTAAATAAACTTGTGATTTGGACAAGTTTAATGAAGGATAGAAAATACACTTGATAGAAGAGCAGATAAAATCAGTGTTTGAGGATAAAGAAAGGAGAAGATATAGATTTTTAGGTTTTATAAATACAAGTTGTTCAAAATGGTTTCTGAATAATAAATTTTACATCTCTGACCTTACTCAGTAAGAATTAATGGAAAATAACGTTTCACAAAACTCATTCCATATAACTAGGATAAGGCAGGTTAATGATGATGATGATGATGCAAAATTTTAAGTCATCATACCTTGATTTCTTTCTAGTTTTGAATTTGTTGTCACATTGCTTATTAGATGCAGTACCGGCTGGTAATTTGATTTTAGCCGTTATTTTGTTCTTGTTTGATTAACAAAATGATCATCGGGTTACTAAGTTTTTTTTTATTCCTTAATTTATTTTCTTTATATATGATCAGCTGTTCATCGTGGTTGCAAGGTATGCAATGTCTACTTGGTTAAAACCCGTCTATTTTTTGTTTATTCAAGCTATTCGTAAAGCATATTTAATATGTTCATTCATGCATATATATGATTCGAAGTGTTCATGTTTTGATCAGTGATGTGGAGCGTTGCTATTCTCAGGCTGTTTCCAGCTTCTTAGGAATAAATGTTTTACTTAAATTGCAATATTATTTCTCCGTTATTAAATAGACATAACCTGACACCTGATTTGAATATACACGATTTTCTTTGTACTTTAAGGGTGTGAAATTTTTTCCTCTTCTAACTTCTCAATTCTTTCGGCAGTAGGTCTTATGGAAATTACTATAGAGATGCACAATAGATGAATGATTTTCTATTAATGGAAAATTTTGAAGAATATCTCATTTATGTATAATTGTAGAAATTAATTTATTCTTCGAAAATTTAAGGTGTATAATTCTTTTTTTATAATGTTTTATGATCTGAATCTCTTGAGTTTGAGGATCTTGCTAGTTAGAATTGTAGCAACATAAAAATAATATGAATTAGTATAAACTTGAAGATCACTTTTAAGTGTATTTGATGTTGAAATTAGTTTTATTTTTCCATATTGATGGCATCATTGATTAGGATGTTTGCCTGCTCTCTTTAGATGTCAATACTAAGGGAATATTGGGAACTTTTAAGTTTATTTCTTGGCATGATTTTTCGTTGCCTTAATTGCTTATACTCTTAGGGTTCCTTTCATTATAAATAGAATCCTAAGGGCTAAATGGAGATCATTATTGATTGATGTTAAGTAAATTGAACAACGATCAATTTTCTCTTCTCATAATTCTCTCATTCTCTTTCTTTTTCTAGTCCTTCCTCCTGAGTACTCTTTCCTCATCTTTTTTTTTTCTTATTTCCATGGTATTAAGTGATGTCAAAACCATATTTGTAGTCCATATGCCTATTGGCCGCTTCATCCACATTTGCATTGCAATGCCCCTGTATTTTGTTGTTGACTAACATTATATGCTCCATATTTGACCCATTTAAGTTCTACGATAATAATATAAGAATGCAGTTTTCCGCTAACTTGGATCAAAATGCATTTATTTTATCAAAATTTATTCCAACACTTCCGATTCACATGGCAAACTTCATTGATGTGTTCGAAGCATTGAGATTATTTGAAAAGGTCCTCAGTTCATTCGATCGATCATAAGGACAATGAGCGAGATGACAAAAATCAAACTCATGATGTTTCAATTGCCATTGAAATTGCTCAAATGACACCCTTTTTCAAAATGGAGAGCGTCAATGCGTTCGAAGTATCAAAATTATTTAAGAGACCTTCAATAATTGATTCGCTGAATACGATGAAATCAATGGACTACAAACACAAGGTATCATGAATTTTTGGAGCCTATAGATTTTCGACGACTCCGCTAAGAAATAATTCTCTTTTCATAAATTTAGCATTGCAACAACATGAGGACACAATTTTGTGCCAACTTAGATCAAAATGCCTCACTTGAATCAAAATTTACTCACACATTCAGCCTATCCAATTGTCTCCACACCGGACGTCACTCCTCTTGCTGTCCTGCAATTCACAGCCTCTCCGCTTCGCTGCTCCTCGCTGTACCAACCCTCCGCTTCGCTGCCAACGCAATTACAACCCTTTCTTTTGTTGTCCCAACCACCCACAACTTATTTCAGTCAACTAGCTTCGCTCTTCGATCACTTGATCGACCACCACACATGGGATTGAACCCTATTGTGAATTTGTGTCACGTCTGTTGTAATTTTCATCTCACATGTGTTTGATTGTAACCTCTTATTTTCTTTTAGTAATAATATTTGCTTTTCCTATTGTGAGTTTGGTTAACTACGGTATCACCCTTTCTTGTTAATTTGCAACTGCTTTATTTGCTTGCTTATGTACACTTCTTGAATTCACTTCACGTGCATTTTTATCTGCTCACAACTGCCAAGGCCAAGAGGAACTCTTGCATCTTCATTTTGCTTGGCATGCACTAGTTCATTTCACTTCTTTGCTCCTTCCCTCTCTTGGCTACCTCGTCTGTTTTGTGGGTGAGCCATTTTTTTCTCAATCACTTTTAATTCCTTCAATAGTTGTTAACTGGTTCAATTTTATTGGATGCTATTGTTGTGCTCGCTTTGTGATCGCTGCGAATCTATGTCACAGCTCAGCCTCAGCTAAGCTACAACCAAGTTGCCCTCAACCAGATCTTTTTGCTTTACACAGTGCTTTTGATTGCTGCTTTGAGCTACCTATAATCCTTCCACACCATTTAAAACAGCTCCAAAACCATTTTCACTCCCTTTTGGGTGGAAATCTTGGGCCTGCAACAACCGCTTGCTTCCCACCCAAAGAATTGATGATCTGTCATCTTTTTCGACTCAAAGATAAATATTGATGCTGATTTGTCACTGTTCAGATATTTTTGGGTGGAAAATGTGTGGTAAGATGGAGCTTAATTGCTAATTTTATTCGATGAAATTTCTAGTTAGTTTTATTTATACTTATTTTCATTTGTAACCTATTAATTATTGCATGGAACTTGCCTAGAAAGCTTCATTAAAAGTAAAAATGAGTGTCCATCTGCTACAATATCTGCTCTTTTGCCTGTGTAAGAGAGTTCCAGCAAATAATGAGCGATTGCATATTTAGAAGACTAGGAACCTGTTGCCCTGCTTACTGCCTTAGAACTAGCACAAATTATTATTTTTACATGCTTTTTTATGCTTGATGAAGTATGCCTTTATTTGATAATTGAGGTTCAGTACAACTATTTATTTTTGATAAGAACGAGTGGTTGCATTTGCATCATAATTTTGTAGCTTCCTCTTTAGTTGCATTCATCATATCGTTTGCTTTAATTGTTCCCATAACATTTTTACTTTTAATTTACCATGGCTTGCTAGGCTTAAGGGTGAATATAAGAGTATGTTAGCATCTGTCAAGCAATTGAGCCAAAGTCTAGAAAACCTAAAAACTTATAAGATATTTTCTGGTAACTGAGCATAGACCCTTGAAAACAACATTAATCAGATTATGAGTAAATTTGATGATTTTGCTTATCAAATTAAAGCACTAAGAAACTCAAATTGACTTTGGTAAAGGCCCTTCCTAAATTATCCTTTCACATCTAACTTGCAACCCTAGAAATTCAAGCTATGGAAGTGTTGCTTAAAGGACACAATTAATCGGTAAAACACTTGAAGGGCCATTTGTACCATAATGTTTAGGTCCATCTGTACTTGAGGGAAAAAATTCATTATGAGAAATGTTTGTGTTATTAGACCTTACATGCATGATACCAATAATGATAGAAATACTTGGAATGCTTATAATCATCTCTATGATAATAGTGATAGCAGGGAAGGAAATTATTTTGAAGAACCACAAACACAAATCAATACTATTTATGAGAATGAATTAGAAGAAGGTATTTTTGACCGCTATCCACCACAGCAAAATTGTCAGAATTAATATGAATAAACCTGGATAGCAAAGCAATAATGAATCAGAGCTAACAAATACGGTTAGGATTGAGACTCCTACATTTGAAGGAAAGCATGATCCAAACATCTCTTTTATTCTCTTTTTGAGATGGAGGACTTCTTTGTCATGACCCGGCCCGGGGCTTGGAGTTATCGAAGACGGGAATAAAAGGTCGAACAGTTGAAATCAATTCACTGTTATTCTAATTCTATCACTAACAATTTAATATTCAAATAATATATGAAAGGGCCACTAAAAAAAACAATTAAAATTAACTAGTGGAAATTTATACATTTTGGTTTGTTGTTCTCTTCTTTTATACATATTTTTTCATCTTCTGTTCATCTTGTTCAAATATTTAAAATCTAAAAATGATATGAAAACATAACGAGTTATTTAAAAATAACCCAGGAACAATCATACTTCTAAACTACAGTAATTCAAAGAAATGAATTCAATATGCGTGCTAGTCTTTTGTATAGTTATAAGAAATCTTATAATATGCTGGTCTTTCATATTTTCTTATAAACAATCTGATATATATTAATAAGTAATCTGATATATGTTTATAAGTAATCTGATATATGTTTATAAGCAATCTGATATATGTTTATTTTTTTCTTGAAATAGAAAGGATACATAAAGGTTGTATGAGAGAGCCCAAAAGAGACACCTTGCCCATACGATACAAATACAGTAATACCCCAACAAAAAGAAATAGAAAGACTCAATAAAAAGTAAAATAAATTTAAAACATGCAGAAAGAAAGTAGCTAGGGATGAGCCAGTTTAGTCCTGCATCTTCCTCTAGTTTTAGGAGCAGAGCTAGATAACAAACTTTGAAAAGTCATGTCATTACCAAAAGTAACTAAAGTATCATACATTAAGTTCTCAAGTTGGAGTGTGCCCCCAACCTTCTTCCGCCGAAAAGTGTAAACCTGTCATTCTTCATCTGAAAACTGACTCATGTGATCATCAGTCTGATTTGATATTAGAAACGCAGTAGAAGGAAAGACAGTCGTTGCCACCGCGATAGGTTCCAATGTATGTGAAGGGTGAATTGTTACCTCTTCACCTGATGCTTCCTGAATAAGAGCTGCGAGACTATCCTGATTTTTGGTTCGAACATTATTCGTTGTAGTATGATCAGAAGAAGAGATCCTAGGGGCAGACACCAACTCCTGTTTTGTGGTGATTCCCTTCTCAAGTTGGCTGTCATCAGGTTTGTCGGGAGCGCGTTCAGGCACATGGGGTGCACTAATAGTGTGTTCCTGCTTTTGACTGTTGGTTCTCAACTGTGGGTGCAATTTGAAACATTTCTCCTGCGGGTGCAATTTGAAACATTTCTGCGGGTGCAATTTGAAACATTTCTTCTGCCTGCAGTATTTGCAGTAGTAAGATTTTTGTTCCATAATAATTTTTTACCAATAACCATTGTGAGCAGATTCAAGCCAGACTTCTTCTACATCTGGTAGTGTGATATATCTTTCAATCAAA